CATCTAGATGTGTATAAGAGACCTCGAGAGGACGGAGCATAGTTACCACAGGTCCGATCACCGATGGCCAATCGTTCCTTTCTACTTTGCCAAAGGTGGCTCAAAAATGTCTTCCCTAGTCTGTCTATCCTAACGATATCCCTTCCCGCCTTTTCAAACACACCTCCTATGCCCCAGTACAGCTACCGTCCTTTCCTTTCTATTCCATGCCTCAAACATCTCCCTGTACGTCCCATCTATCCTTCCCAGCTCAGTCACGTAAACTTCCCTCTCCTCCTTGTGCCACGGACATTCCGCGACTACATGAGCGCGGTCTTCGAATTCGAAGCCGCAATCACATTTGAACTCGTCGTCTTCCTCGTCTACCGTCCTATGTCTTCGTCGACGTTCTCGAAGGCCCATGTCCCTGGTCCTGAATTTGACCTCAAGCTTTGTTCCTGCATTCATTGGTCCATGTAGGTAATCCTTGAACCCTATTCCTTCAATATTCCGTACACTTCCAGACCCTCCTTATCCTTGGTTTCTTTCTGTAGATTCTGTTCTTCACTCTCGGCACAAGCAACAGATATCTTCTCCTTGAACCCCTTTAGACCCTCCGTTGCCAGCGTTTCATCGTCGTCGCTGTCGAGCCCCTTCCATACGTCCTCTACAACCTTGACCCATTCCGTGGGTTGTCTACCCCTCTTTTTGTTTGCCCACTTCGCCTCCCATACAATCCTCGGCAACCTTTCCTCTCCCATCCTGCACATGCGATACCGCCATGCCAGCTTCCTCGCGTCTCTTCCCGACCGTAGGGATTGGATCCCCAATTCTGCCCTCACGGCTGCATTACTTGTGCGCCTGGAGCATCCTAGGATGGTTTTCGCTGCTTTCATCTGCGCCGCCTCGAGTTCTTTCACTACCTTCTTATTTCCTTCCCATACTTCTCCGGCGTACTCTAGCGGCGGTACGATTACGCTCTTCAAAACCGTCAATTTGATGCGTGTATCGAGGTGCCGGTTTGCGAGTATTGGGTGCAGCTTCCCTGCTCGTGCTTTGCCCTTTTCCGCTACCTTGGACATGTGTGCATTCCACGAGCAGTCTTTTGCGATCTCTACTCCGAGGTATGTGTACTGGTCCACTACTGCAATCTCCTCGGTCCCCCACTTCCATGTATCCTCCACTGGTTCCTCCCTGTCCTCGTTGCATACCATGACGGTACTCTTCTTAACGTTGGCAGACAATCTCCATGTATCAGTAAACTTCTTCGCCGCGTCAATTTGCAGTTGCAGTCCCCCTGGGGGGGGAGAGTTATATTCGTGAAGCAACGCGACGCGTATGCATATACAACCCAAAATGGGTCAATATCAAATCAAACGAGGAGAACGGTTGACTGCCGTTTGTAACCACAGAGACGGGTGATGCACTGATCACTGATCATGCAGAAAGGGGCTATGCAGAAAGAAGTACGTGTGTGTGTGTGGGGGGGGGGGGT